CAACCATAGGCACCCTGTTTCAGCGGCACAAGTAGTTTTGCTTTAACTTTTACACAATAAGTAGTCTCTGGTGACAGTTTAAAAATTTTATCTCTGCGATGAATAGTTTCAATCCTTTTCTATAATTAGAAAAAAAAAAGTCTAAAAGATTTATCAAGTCAATTTTTGAATTAATTGTCCTCATTTTTCTCTCAAATCAAAGGTGAAAAATAATGCTTACTTCTTCACCTGAAGACTTTCTCCACAGAACTATGTCATATGTGAAGGCAAAATTATCCTGAGCCCACATGACACTGTCTTTTTTTCCAGGACGAGAGATGTGTATTATTATTGCTTTATCTTCAGCTTCTAAATGTATTCCCGGAGGACCAATGTGAGCTGTAGACATCATAAAGATCACTATGTAACTTTATTAGTACAATTTCAACACATGCACTCATTAAATAACATGTGCCTGGCATAACAAAACAGAGGAAGTCCCTGGTGAACCTTACACTCTAGGGAGGTTTGGCAAAAACCTCAAATCACCATGCACAATGCCATGCATGCCATACAGAAAAATAAAGTAATACAAAGGGGTGAAGAATGGTTGCAAGTGCTATTTTAGATAAGTTAGTCAGGAAAAGCTTTCTTGAGAGAGACATTTGAGCTGAGGCCTGAATAAAATGAAGAAACCATGCAAATACTTGGGGAAAAAGCAGCGACAACTAGTGAGGATTGAACACAATGCCTGTCAGATGAGAATGTGGTGCACATTGCCAAGAGACAACAAAGAGCGCAGAATGAGATGAAAGGAAAACTTTGTGTCTTAGTCTGGAAGGATTAGAGGCAGAATGGGGTGCCACTGTCTGATCGATCCATTTTTTGGAACATCATTCTGATTAAAGGGTGAGGAAGCAAGGAGACTAGTATGAAATCCAGTGAAGAATGCAAGTGGCTTGGTAAAAGGGTAAAAATGAGAAAGCCTCAGATGTAAGTCTGAAGACAGATCAGACACAATGTGTGAACACACAAGATGCAAGATGTAGAAAAAAAGACTACTCAGGCTCTTGCCTTGAGCAAACAGCCAAGCTGATCTCATGGCCGGGGGGATGGTGAAGACTATAGAAGAGCAGTTTTGAGGGAAAAATCAAGAGCTTTATTGAAATATTTTAAATGTGAGATGACTTTTACATTTAAGTGGTGACACTGAATAGAGATGGTGAATAAGTTGAAAGGAGAGAGGAGGAAACTGGACTGGAGATACAATTTTGGGAGTCAAGAGCCATAATCAGATGGTGTGGAAAACGCGTGAAGTATCAGTGGAGTAAGTATAGAAGATTAACGAGTTGGGCTACCACAGTAGTCCAAGTCAGTAAGAAAGAGGAGAAGATTGGTGGGAGCAAACCAGTCAGCATACAAAGAGTGATAACCCCAGAAGAGTTCATGCCCCAGAGAGCAGGCGATGACAGTGTCTGTGCTATGGAGGGACCAGGCTGCAGAGGACTGGGAACTTCACCTGCACGCAGTGGCATTTCTGGACTTGAGAAGAATGGATTTAATATAGGAGTGGGAAAAGCTTGACTGGAGATGGATGAGGAGGAATGGGGGAAAATAAAAAAAAGAAGTACAGAAAGAGTGTTCAGATCATTCCTTTTTCGAGTTTTTAGACACAGAAGTTTTCACTTCTTAATCTCAAGATCCTTTTACACTCTTAAAGAAAGTATTGAGGCTCCCAAGAGCTTTTTTGCTATGGTTATGTATTTTGATATTCACACATTAGCATTAAAGTTATGAAATTATAAAACACTTATGAATTCATTAAAAAATAACAATGACAAACCATCCATAGTAACAAACACTTGCTATAAAAATAACTTTCAAAACCAAACAAAAAACTAGAAGCATTTTAAACATTTAAAAAAATCTCGCCATGTCGCATTAACAAGAGGACACATGGATGTTCACATTTGCATTCAGTCCAGTACCACATCACATATCTAACAGCATGCTTTGGAAAATTCCACTGTGTATACGAGAGACATGAAATGAACAAGGCGCAGTACATCTCACGAATTATTATAAACAGTTTTGTCTGACAGACCCCATGAAAGGGTCTCGGGGACCATATTTTGAGAACCAGAAGGAGAACATCGTGGCAAAAACAATGGGCTGAGAAAGAAGGACTGCTCCGGAATATCTTGAAGAAATGTAATGTAATTCAGCTAGCATTTCTCTTACCTTTCAGAAATGGTACAAATGAGCAACCTCATGCACCAAAGAAGTATTGTTGCCATTTTCTGCTCTTAACGCATTTTAAGTTTTCATAACACTTTAGCTTGACTGAAGAAAAGTCACATTTGGTACCCGCAATATATTGACAGCCAGGCAATTTTATCCAGTTATCCAGCTTAGGTCTTTAGAGTGAAAGGCCAAACAAGTGAATGAGCAAATGTCTATGCAAGAGTGGTCTAACACGTTTTTGATTTGCTAATATTAAGAAGCTAGTTTAACAAGTTATTTGCTAACTGTACTTGAGTTAATGGCCTGTTAACATTTTAGTATATTGCCTTCCACTTTTCTCAATAATAACCAATTACTGTTTATAAAATGGAATGATCCAGAAATAGGGTTATGTTTTAAATACAGTTCTCTATATTAATTACAGGTGCTGTATTTCAAGGAAGAGAGAAATAAATGGCCGTAAGGCAAAAGTGGATTTTGTTGCTGATGTTGGTAAGTGTAGCTGTGCTTCTGGACCTTATCTTCCTTACTGAAAAATCAGGAGCTGGAGTTATTTCCCCTTCTGCCTGCTCCATGACTACATTACCTGTGCTAGACAGAACCTCAGCATTACTGTGGTTTCAGTCCTTGCCCTCTCCCAAACAAAACCATCCACTTTTTCATGGTTTCCTAATTCTTCCTTTTACACCACAAAAAACCAAAGAGGTTAACACAGGAAAGTTGTCTAGGGGAACTGGCCAATCAAAAAACAAAAGCAAGTGTTGGGCGGCAGATGCTCAGTGTAGAGTGCCTGCTAGCAAGCATGAAGCCCTGAGTTCAAACTCCAGTACCACAAAAAAACCAAAAAAAAAAAACAACACAAAAAAAAACCTCAAATTCTTCTTTTTTAAAAAAGGCGAAGAGACTGGGAGTGTCATTTAGTGTAGGCTGCTTGCCAAGAGATCTAAGCACTAAGTTTGTAATGCCAGAATGACCCTCACCATTACCCCTGTCTTCTTTCCTGTCCAGGAGATGGCTTCTTTTGCTTAAGGGAGATAGTACAGTGGGGCTTATATGTTTATGTATATATACACACAACACCAACATATATATATATATAAAGCTTTATCATATACAATAATCAAAACAGAAATAGAAGAACAATCTGAAAATAGGGAATATTAGTCGAATATAAGACTCATTTTAATAAAATCAGTTTTCACAATGTAACTTCATGTCCTCTGGCTGTTCCTGTCCAAGGTATCAGAGTCCTTAGAAGACTGTATAAAAAGCTTTCAGAATATGTTGAATAAGAAATGAATACACACATTACATACACCACAATCCAATTCAGAGAAGTACAAAGGTGTCATTATTTACACCAAATGGTTTATGTGCTATGTTTTGAGGACACTGCATTAATACCTGCTCTGCTATTATCACTATTTCAGTGGCCATTTTGTGCCTTTCTCCTGAGC